AACCCCAAACCCCTAAACCCCTAAGTGGCACGGACCTTTAGGTATAATGTGTGGGTTCTGTTGGGTCAACCTTAGTTCTTTCCCACTGCGGAAGCTGTTTTGCGGGCACAGTCCATCAAACAGCCGTGAGTTTAACTACCGGTTGAATCAACAATCGATCGCAACACAGTGACACGCTATGTTGGCTTTGTCACGCTGTGACACATCCAGGCCGCGAATGCTGCGGGGAATGGTAAGGCTGCTGTCAAGTTAAGATGTGCATCTGATTTCCGGCATGTGACAACACAAGCTGTCACGCCTTCGTCATATCTCTCTGATGACCGCGCAACCTTTTTCATCTGCTTTCATATCGGCGGCGTGGTCCGCGATTCGGAATGCATTCGAAAGCATATTCGGGTGTCTCGCATTTCTTACAGTAATGTCTCTTTCGGAGATCGGGAGGACTGAGGTGCTCGCAGACTGAAAGCAGAGGAAATCTAAGATAACTCGGGGCTGGGTGGGTTGGGTGGGGGAAGAGAAAACGTCTTGAGTCGAACCTTATACCAAAGTGGTGACGGGAAACGCAAGCTTCGAAGCGATCCACGCAAGAAGATCATCGGAGTCGATCGTGTGAGCATGACAGCAGAAAGTTGTCTTTTCGCACACGCATGTGCTACACTGTAGTACATGTGCTGGGCTCTCCGTCACCCCAAGCGCGCAGAAGTCATTCCGGCAGCCGTCACCCCAACGCACAGCGAGGTTGAAGAGCCACGTCTCAATGACGATTTCGGGTTTCACGCCGGCGTACCTTCGAGATTGACCCTTCCAAGAACCATGACCACAAGCCAAAACCGTCTTCAACCGACAACCCCCCCTGCAGGGCACAGGCTCTTTGTCATGATGAGGCCGTGCCCATACAAAGCGCCCGGCTTCTCTCACATCCCTCAGCGAAAATAGTCATCACCCGAGGTGTGGATGCCGCTTCTTGGAATTGGTTGCACATCCACACCAGTGCCAAGAACTCGCACAGTGGGGAGGTCGTTTCCATGGTCCGTGGTCTTTGCCTTACTGGCACACCGATCACAAGCCATCTGAAACACCACACAGGGATTGGGACGGCTTTCGTCTTGCGGCAAGACTTCGGCACATTCATACTACACTAGACATTCCTGGCCGCACGATGGAAGTGATGATATTCGAGCTTCTTCGCAGGCCGGTCTGACTCGAGGCAACGAATCGTTGTTGTTGTCACATCCAGAACAGACGCTCTTCGCTACACCGATACTTCCCGGCATAGAAAAACTGAGCTTCCCGCTGCGTTCGCTCTCACGACGCCGAGTCGGAAGCCGCCGGAGGTCGAGATTCGGCCTGCTCATTCTGAGACACCCCAGCTGCCGCGACAAGATACAAGCTGATTGTAGCTAGATATACTCATGATGCAACAGGTGCTAAGACATCCACAGCCTGCATGCTCAGACACAGACCTCCGACGATCCCGCATCATGCAGCACATGTCCAAAGCTAGAGGCAGCAAGATCACCAGTCTCCTTGCAAAGCCCTCCTCCGGAGCCTTGAACACACACGGACTTCAGTGGGACGGCCCTTTGTCTGCTTCTATCACAACCCCCTCTGCACTGGTATTCTTGCATGCATCACTCTGCCTTTTGCTCGCGTCAGCGCTGCCAGCTTCAGCCTCGACCAATCTTCGACGACTAGGTGGGCGAAAGCACGCCTCCTCTCCGAAGCGAATCCTTCCGCTGGAGCGTGTGGGGAGTGCGCCGTCTCTTTTTCACGACAGAAGAGTGTGCGGCAGCTGGACGCTTCATTCTCACAACCGCATCCTTCACCGCCAGTTTTCTTTGCTGTCGCTTTGCAGAAAGCGGCAGGCTCGCCTTGGACACAGCACCTTCGTCGCGCAGCTGCCATGCCTTCTCCGACCACAGGGCGCGGCGACTAGATCGCGCCAGCACTTGCGGCAGTTGCTTGGAGGTGCGCTGGTATAGAGCTGAGTTGTGCGACAACAGCTTGCCAAGCTTCAGAACACGAAGTTTGAGCTGCAGAGTTGACTGGCGCATCTGCTGTGTCTCACGAAACCAGCAACTGATCTCGTGATGTAGCGACTCGTTGCTGGTGGTGCCAACGGGGAGTAAACTGAGTCGATGTCTCGGCATGCTGTGACTGTGACGAAGTCGAATGTTGTTCATGTACCATTCACTTCGATCTGCAGCAGCTGCTGCGTGAAGCAGCTGGTAAATTCGCCTGTTTGGACCAGGAGCGGCGGCTCACCTCATCCCGGAAGACCGAATCCAAGGCGGCCAAGGACCGAATCCACTCGACGCGCGTATAGAACGGTCGGCTTGCGTCCAGCTGTGCCAGGATTTGCTCCGCTGTCGTCACCCGCATTGTCCGATCTTCGATTTTCTGACGCAACGAACTTTCCTCGACTGTCAGCCCTTTGCAACTGCGTCCGTGGAAAACGTGCCCCCAACTTGCAGCATCGTACGCGTGATCAACAGCAGAAAATTTGGACAGAATGCAGCGCAACGTTCTCGTGGCCTTGGTGCGTTTCCGAGAACTTGCGTACTCACACGTCATGGCCAAATGCACTGGGCCCAAAGCCATAACCTGCAGGTTTGGGCAAATGTTCTTCAGACAAAGCAAGTAGCGCCGGCTCGGATTGTCCACGGTCACGAATTGGACCTGAGCCAGGCCTTCAGCTGTAATGCTTTCTGCCAGAGATTGTGCTGCTCCACATGCATCATCACTGGCCACTGCGAACATCCCGACCACGGCATTTGTTCGCCCGCATACGGTGAACACCTTGACGAGACTACAGTACTACAGTACATTTACTGAAAAGAATTAGAATCACATCGGCTGTTCCGACGAGGGTTTTGCTATTCAGACGAAATGTATATCCGCCACGACACCCTTCGCAGCATGCTGGTTTCGTCGAAGGCCGCTTGAGTCGCATCCATAGAACGCGGGCGTGGCTGTCCTGGCAGCACCTAAGCGTGGCATCGATGCTCAGCGTCTGGTACTCGTTGCGCTTTACGAGCTCATGGATGAGATCTCGTTCCATTGCCACAACGGCGGGAGAAGTGAGAATATCCTCCATCAGCGGCAGCCAATCCTTGACGTGCGACGGGAGCAAACAGGTGGACTCGAGCAAACAGGTGGACTCGTGCTCCATCATGGAATGTAGAGCCGCGATCATGCCGTGCACCTACCAGAAGACAGAGGCGCAAGACCCACTTACAGACACGTATGTTCTCTCAAATGCGGTTGACAACTCTAGCAGACATTAGCCACCCTAGCCGTTTTGTCAGAACAACGTTTATCTTTCCCTGCACCTTGGCATTGCAAAGCAACGTCTGATGGAAAATCAACTGCCCGAAAGCCTTGGTGTAGTACAGGTTTCGAACGCGCCGAACAAATGCTTCGCCTTGAACAGTGGAGACATTCCAGAACTCCGGTCCCGATTCTGCCATAACCAGGCGGATGAAGCGGTCAATACAGTTGATGGCACCGGGGAGAGGCGGTGCGATGGTCTGCAGCATGATGGATGCAGATCGGGACAGCAGGTCGCATGTCTCTGCTCTTTTCAGGAGGCGGTCACTGTCGTGCAAGGCAATCACAAGCTTCATTTGCTTTGTGCCGCTGGGGCAATACTGTTTCGATGCACAGTGGTACCTCTGAATGCGATGCAAAACTCTACTCCTGTTATTTTTGTGGAAAGCTCGGAAAGGACATAGCGGCCACGCCAGCCGATTGTCCGAGTTCCTGTGAATCTTCTTCTTGGCGAGCAAGTCATCAACTTCCTTCTCCATCAATGCCAAGATGTGACCGCCGACTTTAGTGGTCGCCTCATCGGCCCCATCGTCTTCGTCCTCTGCTTCCTCTGACGATGTGTCTCCTGACCCTGCTTGCAGCTCCTTCAACACAGCCCACTCGGAAGGCAAAGGTCCCGTTGAATCTGCGTGCTCATCGGCTACGTGGCCTGGGTCCAACACGTCAAATATCACTACGTACTTGTTATCAGCCGCATCGTGCCATGAGTTCTGAAATTCTTCGGTTCTCAACGTCCAGCAAGAAGACCAGTCTACAACCTTGGCCTCGTTATCGTCGGAAACCATGACCGCGACGCAGTGAGGCTGTCCCCGCACGTAACAGTGCAGTAGGAATTGGTCCTTGGCTTTCATCTGCCTGAGATCCAGCCGAGGATGAAGTTCTCCTCCAGATGCAGACTCCACATGCGAATATGTTCGGTGTCCTCTACGCCTGTAGTACAAACCGTACTCTGATGTGGTGTCATCGCGAATGCGGATGGCATCATCTGTAAAACCCAAATGGAACAGACCACGTAAGATACAGTTGCCAGGCTCTAGAAGTTGTTCAGCACAGTGGAGCGGAGATGAGGATCCCTTTTGCGCAACCAGCTGCAGAAAGCAACCGTGAGTTTTGGGACGAATGTGGACCTTGAAACCTGCCTTGGCTTCGATATGGCGTTCTCACAAGTGCAACGGTCGGGACCGTACTTCCCACAACCCGCGCAATTCGCCCTGCCCATTGGTGAAGCAACTGAAAAGGGAGCGTGGAGCAGTAAATGCTGCAAAGGTTCCATGATGAAAGACGCATTTATAATGCTCGTTTCTCATGGGTGCACAGTCGATGCTTCTGTAGACTTTCAACTTTACGGCAGGGAACCACCGTATCTAGGATCGAAATTAGAAGACAGCTACAACTATTTAAACCTTGGACATTATGCGAGAAAGTTGACGTTTTGCCGACTTCTGAACACGAAACAAAGGTCTATCACCCTGGCCTTGAAGGCTTTAACAAACCACTGAAAAACAACTCAACCATGAACAAAGCCGGAAGATGCCGTGTGCCGAGGCAAAGACCTCGATGTAACAAGGAAGCTTGCAGTCTACACTACACCGCTGACGATTTGCGACATTTTCAATGATGGTTATGTTCTGTATGTTCAAGCGGGTCTCACATGTACAGAAGAAACGAGTGCCGAACAAATAAAGACCTTGTCCGAGCGACTCCGGACAGGGATATTTTTCTGATTTTGTATTGTATGAATTTATTGAAATATCTGTTTTTATTTTTTCAAAAATTTCAAGTTTTCAATAATTTCAATAATTTTAAAGAATCCTGGCTGGCGACGGCCCGGGCCTGGCCAGGGTCTTTATTTTTCTAAAATGTCAAAACTTCAGTAATTTTTCCTTTTCAAGCAAATGCTTGACAATTGAAATTATTGAAACATCTGTCTTTATTAATTTCAAGAATTTCAATAATTTCAAAAATGTTAAAGAATCCTGCCTGGCGACGGCCGGGCCTGGCCAGGGTCTTTATTTTTCTAACATTTCAATAATTTCAATAATTTCAATAATTTTTCCATTTTTTAAGTAAGTTTTTGACAAAATTCAAGTTTTGGAAAATGTTTTCTGTATTCTTGTATCCCCTATGTGTCCTTCGAAACAAGCCAGACCCGCAAATCATACATAAAGGTCCAATGCACAAACCCCTAAACCCCTAAAACCCAAACCTAAACCCCCCCAACCCCTAAACCCCTAAACCCCTAACCCCTAAACCCTAAACCCTAAACCCTAAACCCTAAACCCTAAACCCCGAAGCCCAGAAGCCCCGAACCCCCAACCGGGCATCCTGCGGCGGCCGCCTTCTGAAAGCTCGCGCTGGCGAGGAATTCCTTGACCTCGGCTCGCGAGGGTTTAGGGTCTGGGGGTGTAGGGTTTAGGGTTTAGGGTTTAGGGTCTGGGGGTGTAGGGTTTAGGGCTTNNGGGCTCCTTTTAAAAGGTTACTAGAAGGGTTCCTGTAAGGGTTTGGTAGTTCTAGAAAGGCTACTACAAGGATTATGGGATTCGGGTTGAGGGTTTAGGGTTGCTTTGGGTTAAAGCTCTTCGGGTCTTATGGTTCGGGTTTCAATTATAGATAGAGGTTCAGGTTTTAACCCACAGGCCTGAATGCTGGGCTCTTAAGATTACCCCCAAGCCCTCGAAGAGGAACCCTAGAAGAAACCTCAGAGAACCTCCAGATGCACCCCTGAACCTCCAAACACTGTGGTCTTCGCGGGCTCAAAACTTGAAGCCGACATGGGTTTCCGAAAATAGGGGACCCTGATCTAGTACCCCAAATAGTAGGATGTTTATTATAAGGACACCCAAAAGAAGGTACCCACTATTTTTGGAAACTCCCACATCGGGACTGCAAACAAGCGAATCGTAATGCTCCGACAGCTCTCCGACTGCCTGGGACCTGTTGCACTCATGAGCTGACCTCTTCGAAGGACCCAGAGACTCCAATACCCCTTAATTAAGGAATATACCGTAAATTATAGTAATAAAGGAATATACCTTAAATTATAGTAATTAGGGAATATACTTTAGGTTATAGTAGGATCCCTAATAAGATTTAAGGTATATTCCTTCATTNNGGGGTATTGGAGTCTCTGGGGAGTCTTTCCATGTCTCAATCTCACACCGAACTTGCTCTTGGCATATGAGTTTTGTCTGAAGCGGAGAGGGGCCGTCGTCCCCTGACGTTTAGGGTTTAGGCTTCAGGGACTC